TCCCCCCACTTGGTTCCAAGCCCCTCTTTTGGGGGGGGCTCCCATGAAGATGGGTTCCTTTTTGTTCGCTTTTCCCCTCCCGTTCCCGTCCCTTTTGGGCCTTTTTTTGTGGGGGGATTGTGGACCCCCTTAAAAAGTGTTAATAAATTTTAAATGTAAAAGGGATACAGTTTGGGGATTTTTAAAAGGTTAACCCCCCCCCCCCCCGGAATTTCCTTCTTTTTAAGGAGGGGGGGCCAATGGTTTAACAATTAAGGCACGCATGACATGGTACGCCCCCCCGTACCCCCCCCCCCCCCCCCGCCTCGCCTGCTCGGCGCTCAGGAAACCCAATCTCTCCCGGCTTGTATGCTCGGCTGTGTGCGGATATTACCACCGTGAGCGGGATTCTGGTGAGGAGCAGAGAGGGGCACAGAATGGGGACAGGGTAGCTCTCTTTCTATCAAACATGGTTGTACCCGTTTATTGCTTGACCACTCACTGAATTTTGGTGTTCCACACCGGTGGGACTAATGCGGAAGAGGAAGTGCTGGATGAGGTTCCGAGCAACCTGTTTTTTGTGAAGCCGCCGACAAAAAACCAAGTCCATTTTATATTTTTGCGGTTTTGCCTTAGGTTGCGACTTGCCAGGAATACACACGCAGTGAATTCAGGAGCAGTAAGCAAGATTGCACTGATCGGTATCAAGCTTTCTTTGCGATGCTTTTTTCGATCCGACGCTCTCACCTTGTGCTCAAACAGGACGGTAGCGGAGACGCTACTGTGTCCTCGGAGCTGAAGGAGGCGTTGCCAGCTAGGCAGTTGCTTGCCTGCGCGGACCGTGGGGCAGGGGGGGGGGACGATCTCTTGTCGGAATATAGCGCCTTGTCCGTGTTGAAAGCCGGGGCGGATGTGTGGGTCACGGGCTCGAGCAACCCACGTGAGTGTTCTTGACGAGCCCTTTATTCTGTCTGTTGTGCTGTCCTGACATTGTTTCATTTGTTTTTCATACAAGAGCACAACCAATTCATCTCTTCCACACATGTCCCGGGATAGATTATCCATGATCTATTTTTGTTGTATGATGACCAACTTGTATTTCTACGGTTCCCGGAGTACTGTTTCTCGTCAGCGATCTTCTAGTCAACGGTCGGGCCAGTCGGTTGGTGGTGGCCCGGCCAAACAACCCACGTGAGAGTGCTTGGCCATGTACTTTATTTCCTCTGCTGCGCTGTGTTCTCGAGAATTATCTTCTTGTTAGCGGTCTTGTTTTGAACGGTCTTCTTGTCAACGGTCGGGCGTGTTGGTTGGTGGCGGCCTGGCCAGGGACCAGCTTCGTCTCACGGTGGCAGGTTTGTTGGTGGCATTATTGCTGTTTGGGATTGAAAAAAAGGTGTTGTGGTTGTAAGCACGCGATGGCGGTCTGTTGGACTATTTTTGAATTGGTTGGCTGCTGGGATGCTGGACTTTGGTTGTCGGGATGATTGCGCTGATGATTTGCGTCGTTCGTGTGTGCTTAGGCTGGTATTTTTATGTGGGTGTTGTCTTGGACTAGCACCGGTGTTAGTCTGTGCAGATGACCATCACGCCCTCCATCCCACCCACGTCCGTTTGTGTTATGAGAGTGTGGGGGGGGGTTGCGTATTGTCGCCCGCTCCAACCGGTTGGTCTCAGCCGGGAGACCTGAAAACAAGGAGGCTTGTTCTCGTACTGTGAGTGCTATTGTTTGTCGGTATCGACCGCTCCTCTCCATGGGCCACTTTAGCGGGAGAACACCAACAAACACGCATTTTGACATATGCGCGAGTTTGTGTGGGGTGGGGCGAAAGAAACAGACGCATGTGAGAGAGAATGGGCGAGAACGACAGAGAAGGATACAGAGAGAGACACGACAAGAGAGAGAGAGAACCAGGCAGACAGACAGACAGACAGACGACAGGCACAGTAGAGAGTAGACCTCACCTCCCTTGTGCTTGACTCATTTTCGCACGACTCACTTTCCCACCAGTTCCAGAGCTAGCGGTGAGGATGCAGGCGTGCGTCGATCGAGGGGACGCCGGCGGTGCGGCGCAGGCCCAGAGGAGGCTAAGCGTGTGGGCGAAGAAGAGAAAGGTGGGTCAAGAGGAGATCTGGGGGGGAAAGATAAGGGTACCGACTCCTTGCTGAACGTAATGAGGCGCGAAGAGAAGAATGACGCCTCCTTAGAGAAGAAGAACACTTCGCTTGTGTGGTCAGTCATCGTGATTCTTGTTTTTTATCTTCTCTTTTGACTTTTTGCGCAGTATAAACAACCCTTTTACGGGGTTAGTTGGTCTGTGACCACGGTAGGTATCGGCGTCAGTTGGACGGGTGGTGCGGGCGCTGCGCAGCAGACCGGGACGGATTTCGGTGAGGAGACAACAATCATGAACCTTTTGGTCGTGTGTGAACCAAGGTAGGAAGCAGGCTATACTAGAGAGAACGTGGCATTGGTCTTTGAGAAGCAATAGCCGGTAATGCTACGACCAACCTAGAGGGGAAAGAAGCCGAATATGACTATTGCACTATTGCTGAGCAGTACGTACGTGTCATTCATCACGATGTTTTTTTTTTGTGTTGTCTCGCCAACCCCTACCACATGTTGTTGCTGTGTGTTGTTTCGATGGGGCGGCACTCTCTGTGGTGGAGGTCCCAGCAGGAACAAAACATTTCCAGACGAACAGCATTCAAATCCCGAACAACAAAGGTTTTGAACGCCCTTGGCGCTGGTTGTGCGTGACCGCCCTTGCGAGCGAGTTTTCGAGGTCGAGATCAGCGGGATGTTTCTGTTGCGCGTGGTGACAAGATCCCCCAGGGGGTCTATGCCTAATATATTACTCCGTGCGATTGATGTCGTAGGTGGCACAACCTGACGTGTAGCGTGTAACGGAAGAATGCATCATTGTTGGAAATCGGGGTCACGAAGAGTAACACCTTTGCTAAGCACCGAACCATACGCGGCAACCCCCCGTGTGTTACATTTTCAGGGTATGTCCGGGGTGTCTCCCTCCGCTGTGCCCCTAGTGAAGGCAGCCGTGGCGGCCAGGGTCCCGAGTTTGAAGATCTTCACGAGGTATGTATAATACGAGTAAATAGTCTAGTCGTGATGCACGGCGTACACATTTTGCCGCCGCTGCTGCTGTTGCTGCTGCTGCTGCTGCGCACCTGATTTATTGGCGCCGAACAGACACGTGAAGTTTATTCATTTGTTGGCATCTCGGCGCTAATTGTGGTGATGTCGTTGTTGTTTCTGTCGTTGTCGTTGGGTTCTGATGACAGCTTTGGCCCGACCTCTCCCACCGTACCATTTTTTGTCTGCCTAAACTCAGACGCCAACAGGCTAGTCTATTATTTACCCCGACCACGTCGGGACCGAAAGTATGTGTACTCCACACACCTTCCCTCTTGTCGCGTTGCTGTCGAGTCGAAGCCCCGGGCCTCTTCGGCGCACAAGGTGCTTTTGTATGTATTCCACACACCTGTCGTGTTGCTATTGCTTCAAAACCCCAGGCCTCCCTATGAGGACATCGACCCGAAGGCGGCGGCCGAGATGCTGCTTTGGGTCGCCAGCAATGACGACGTCGCCAGGGAGAGGCAGTACGACCACATCAGGAGGGTCTCGGGCAAGGTGGCGTGACAACCGTTTTCTCGATCAGCACTATTAATGGCACGAGCATCGACAACAACAGATTCACAACATGTCATTTGCAGCACAACAGGGCTAGCACCCACAACAATGAATTTACAACAACACCACTGGCAGCACAGCATCCGCAGCAGCAGATTCAAAACGTCATCATTAGCAGCACAACAGCACCAGTACCGACAACAACGAATTCATAAGAATGCCATTAGCAGCACAACACCCACAGCAACAGATTCACAACAATACCACTAGCAGGACAACAGGACCCAACAACAACAGATTCACAACAACGCCATCAGCAGCGCAGCACCCACAGCAACAGGTTTACAACGATACTATTAGCAGCACCATAACACCAGCACCTACGTACAACAACAGATCACAACAACACTATTCGAGGCACAACAACACCAGCACCAACAAGAGGATGCTTGGCTGCGGAGAAATCGAGCTTTGAAAATCGGTCTTGGGGAGGTGCCATGTCTCCCGTACTTACGGGAAACGCCGCGTCCGCCAAGGAGCAGATGTGTTCGTCTCTCTCGAGTCTCAGGTGCTCCGGACGGTCTTCATTCCGCTGGTGTTGGTGTATTTGCTGTAACGGTTTTGTTGTGAATCTCTTGTTGTGGGTGCTGGAGTTAGTGTGCTGCTAATGGTATTGTTGTGAGACTATCTCAAAAAGTGGTGGTGAATAATCGTCTCGCCAAGGGCTATCCGTAGACGTACGGGCCTCTTTCCGTACCCGCTTGGTTTTGGAGCAATCGAGCTTTGGAAGTTGGTCTACAAGGGGGGGTGTAATATCCCCGCCTCTTACGGTAGTCCTCCCCTCGGGGTCGTCGGAATGGTCTTTCCGAAGGTCTTGCCAAGATTACCTCGAAGGGCACAGTACCACCCCCGGGAAATTCCACCACATTTTTTTCTTCTTACGAAAAGCGCAACGAATCCATCTCTTCCACAGATAGCAGTTGGTGATACAGGTAATACTCCGTAGTAATGAATTTGTGGTGTTGTATGATGACCACCTTATACTCAACGGTTTTCGGTTTTCTCTTCGGATCGACCACGGTGATAAAACAAGTCTATGTTGGCATCTTCTGTGTCTCCGGCCCAGTCCAAATAATACGGGCGAAAGGTGTAACAACGACGAATCGGGAATGATGACAACACATGCGCGCGCCACAGGCGTCTGACGTTGTATGCACCAGAGGTTTCGAACGTTGTAGGTGCTGAGGAAGATGGACCTGTTCCCATGAGCCTGTCTCTTGTCTGGGATCCCTCCAAGAACTCTTCTCGACACCACTAAACCGACGCTTCTCCCTACGGATGTCCTTGCGATCAGTCCTTGGAGCTTATCTACCCTTTTTACATAGAATATTGCATCCCTCCCCCATGATATATTTACCATTCGTCGATACATACAAGGCGCGCCTCGGGAATGGGCTCATCAGTAGTTACATCAAGGCGTGTGCATGATAAAACTAAAGCATGCATGTGTTGGTGTGAATCAGGTGCCGTCAGTGACGGTCCCCAAGCTCGAAGAGCTCACACAGCTGACGTGTTCTTGACTGGAAGAGCCCAGCGAACCTCGACGAACCTAAAAGAAAAAGTTGCAAATCTGTAAGAATTATTTTTGCCCCTCCCCCCTCCCCCTCCCTCTGTTTTTTTTGTGCGGCAACCATAATGGTGGTCGAGTAGATCATGTTGTGCGGGGTCGAGAACCCTCACTCCGCGCAAGGGGGATGATCGCACCACGTTGTGTTAAAATGGTCAAGCATCCTCGAGGCAGTCACACAGTGCTTATCACTGTCTCTGGGAGTGAAAGCACCAGAAAATAAATTAAGTCATACGCAGCTGTCATCCGTACGCAAGGAGGTAAGCACAAGATGCCGAACGCCCTCAGCAGGATGCAGCTCACCCTTCATGCGACTCGCCGAATACCTCACGGCGCTTCGCGCTTGGTAATGTGAGAGCCTGGTCCGGTGAGAACCCGGGGTGCTCCGTCCCGGCTTTGTAGGGAAGCGAGGTCAATGGTCTAACGACTACGGCATGCACGACTACGAGTACCCCCCCCCCCCCCCCCCCCCCCCCCCCC